TTATTTTCGGCCTGATTTTGCTGCTATCAGACGGAGAAAGTTTGCGGCTCGATATTTTTGGTTTAAAGCGAAACTGAAACAAAAGAAATTCATTTTTAATAGTATTCGGTAACCTCTACTTGGGAGATAAAAATCGGCCGATATTATTTTTTAGCCGAAAATCATCGGTCGTTTCTTAGGCGCAGGGCCTCTTAATTCTGTGCTTGTGATTGGTCACTTAGGGTCCTGCGGGGGTCTGAGTTCGTAGTAAATTCAAACTAAAAATAGATCAGTTTGCGAAAACGCTGTGACATGAATTACGGGGTAGTTGCACGCTCCTAACGATGGGCTCTTGGTTTTTCTTCATTCTCTATTTTGTGAGTGATTTTCGCCGCTGGTAACCTGGTTAATAGAGACCCTCGTCCTTCGAAGAGCGTCAAGAAAAAAGAAAAAAAAGCAAACAAACAAACAAAAACAAAAATAACAATACAAAAAAAGAAAGAGAAAGAAAAGAAATAGTTTTTCGGAATATTCCCTGACCGTTTCTCTGGGTACGAGTAGCCTAATGTACGATCAGGCATTCTTATTTTTAATGGCGGTGGATAGCAGGTTGAGTACACAACTGCCTAAAGCCAAGGATCGAAGAAAAGGTGGATAAAAACAGTTTGTCATAGTTCAAGTACTTTATTGTATAAACGCTACATGACGAGTGCAGCGCCCTTCACGTCAATATAAAGTGCTTAAAGCCAAGCACAGCCAACGTCACGACCTTTCACAATAATAATAACAATATAAATCAAATATTCTGAGAATTAAACTCAAGTCCATCAAGTTTTAATTCCAAATTGATACTGTAAAATAAATGATATACAATCTTCAGGTGGAGGTAGGGAATTTGTTTCATTATGTACAAGTTCAATTGCAAGATCATTTCTAATTTCACTTCGCTTTGCTGAAGGAAGGCAAAAACAGACAATCCGCCCTTCACAAAAACAACAAAGGTAGACGTGGTTTGCAGCCATTACCGAGAGCTTCAAATGACAGACCCTGACGCCATGTTGGATCATAAGAACAATAACGCTAACTAGAATTATTTTGTTAATGGTCATCCAACATGGCGGCGATGGAACGTCACTTGCAAACGAGCTATTGACGGGAAAAAAGTTTCACTTTTGTTACTTTCATATGAGGAGTGGACTGTCATGGCTTTTACCTTCCTTAAGTGTCTTTACCCCCAAAGAAAATAATACAAATATTTAAACAACTCCTTCTTTGCAAAAAAGTTTGAGTCGAAGGATGCTGGGTGGTAGTCACAACACGTTCAAAGTTGCCAACACCCTTACAGATATAGTACAAAGATAAGTAACAAGACTTCTCGGTGATCGCGCGCCCTTATTCACCAGCGCAACTCACTGCAACATAATAACGCGACTTTACACTAAGGACAAATGTTTCATCAAAAATATTATAGACAAAACGGCCAGCCTTGCGCGCAAAGAGAGCGGAAAACGTATATTTTATATATTTACATCTCAAACTACACTTTACTCACGTTATCTGCTCTGCAAGTTGGAGATTGGGGAGAGGGGGGAGGGGGGAATTACAAGCCCGCTATGATAAAAATAAAATCACTGGATCTTTTTTCTTTCATAAAACTGCTTTACAACGGAGACGCCGCCTCCTGGGCATTGTAAAAATGAAAATCCGTATCTAGCTATACTACTGGTATAAAATAATTGCTTCCTCTTGAATTCTCTCAGCACCAGTCGGCCGTGTAGTTGAAATCAGCGAATAACGCCTGAAAAACAATTATAACAATAAAAAGAGGTTACCATAGAAGCAGACAAAATATACCTTACTCTCACCCCTTGGGGACCATTTTGAGCGGGGGCAAAATTTGGGGGATAATTTTTCGCGTGGAAACGCGCCCCAAACTCGAATATAATGTCAGCGAGAGAATAGCCAATGTTCGAAATAAGTAATATTCTAACATGGCTCTGCGGTTTTCTACCCAAAATTGTAAATTTTCTAAGCTTTCTTTGTCTGGTAATTCTCATAAGAGATCTGATACAAAAAACAAACAAACAAAACAAAACCAGATATAGAAGTTTGGCAGAAGGCCTTAAAGCCATGTTATTCGTTTCAGTTTGACATATAGAACGCGCGCTGTTGCCACAATTTCGCTTTTCGATTAGGAGAATCCACGAGCTTTACCTTTCGGACTCCGTAAAGAACAAGGAATTTCTACAAGTCAGTATCAAAACAACGAAGAACAAAGCGAACGTCGCGTAGTTGATACAATTCTTTCAACAGAACATGAGGAGAAAGAAAGTAAAGCTGAGTGTCACATTGTGCTCTTGAGGGGGCTGTTTACTGATTGATCGATTTAGTGACTTCAAGTTTGTTCCCACGTTTCTTTCACTTTTCTTCACGTCAAAGTTTGTGTGATAAACCATCATAAATACAAGGGCAAACTATCATCAAAGGTATTAAAATTACCTGTTCTTCGCGTGATAGCGGCCTACTCTCTTTCGGTGGTGTCAAGACTGGTTCTTCTGATGTAAATTCTTCATCGAAATTACTAACATCTTCTGCGTGTCGCTGTTGAAAAATAAAATCAATGTGAAATATATAAAGCCCTGAAATTTTGTGGCAGCTTTTTGATGACCAAATTAAGATGCTTTTCCAAACTCTTAAAAAAAAAAAAAAAAAAAAACAGCACGTGGACGTGAGCGTGAACAAGTGGCACGTGATCAGCACGTGTCACCTTCAAAGTTATTCGCGTTTAGTCGTGTTTCACTCAAAGTTCTTTAGAAACAATAGAGGAGAAGCTACGAGAATGAAGCATTTCCGAGACTAAACTTACCACGCTTGGAACAAAAGGAGGCCGAACTTTTCGTGCGAGGAGATCATCCCAGTTCATGTCCTGACAAGAAACAAAACAATTAAGAAAAGAATCTCTTCAATGGAATATGGTTACCGTCTCAGCGCGGCTTGATAGTTCATTTAGTCAAGTACATGACACTATAAAGCCCCGTCCCTATCTTAAATGACCCTTTCCACTAAGCCCCTACACAATTGTACCCTTTCCAAAGATAGACAAGAGTTACAAAGCCTGTGTATTTACATGTAAAGTTACCGACTTTACATTGGAATGTTTCTTCATAGTTCAAGTGCTCAATTTAATTACATTATATCTGATTTAATTCGAAATGTATAAAGACGTGTCTGTAGACCAATGAAAAGTTTTCTCACCCTAAAGAAAGGCTGCTTCCTGACATCCTCAGCATCTTTTTCACTGGCTCCTAACCTTCTTTCTGGGTTTCGTCTTAGTAACTGGAATAATGTTAAAATACAAAATCAAAGTCAAACGAAAGAGATCTGTGGACAATAGAAACACTATAATGAGGCGGTAGTTTTGGCAAAAGGGGAAGGCTGACTCAAACCACGCTACCAAAGACTGTACACAGTCAATAACTCACGGCCCCTACATAAAACATTTTCAAGGGCAACTTGAGTGTTCTACTATTTCCAATAACCCTTTGAGAAGATTATTTTAAAAATAGTGGTTTCTGACGAATAATGTGCACCGTAACTTGCAGTTTTCAGTCAACATTAAAGAACACAACAACCAACCATAACCATTTTCCTCTTGTTCTGGAAAAAATTCTTAACCTTTTGTTACCAAGAGTGATTAAAGCTTAACTTCCCCTAACAATGCCAACACGCTGACAAGTTTATGAGAATATAGAAATTCAAAAGCTAGGAGATAGTGTATTGATGAACAAATTCTCACTGCTAACATCAAAGATATGAATAGAACTTGGTATTGAGAATTAACAAGTCAAGCGTACCCTTCTCATGATAGCGATAGCTTCTGTTGAAAGAAACCTTGGATAACGAACTTCATCATTTACAATGGAGTCAAAAACCTCCTCTTCATCATCTCCAGGAAACGGAGACTAAAATCAAGAAAAAAGATAAAATTAGATTACATGGCAACAAAGCCAGCACTTTTTACTTACTATAATATGCAAAATTCAAGATTTTCCCTTGTTTTTTTAAACCCTTTTTTCAGAAATAATGAGTTAAATCATACCTACCAGCAGAGAAACTTTGTGCTGCTGACACAGCTTAACTAAAACACCTATAAGACCTTGTTGCACCTTGTAAACTTTTTCACACCCTTTTGAGTTTTTCAAACAATTTGCTGGCAAACTGTCCAAATTAGCCTCTTCTACCCCCTGATAACTCAAACACAACCAGTAAAATAGGTTCTATCCAAATCAGTAAAATAGAGAATGTAGATCTAAACGGGGCAGATATGAAGATTACTATTTCGTCAGTGTAACAATCCATTGAAAAATCAATCATTCACTCACCTCTCCTACTAACATCTCAAATATAAGAACACCAAGCCCCCACCAGTCCACAGCTCTTGTGTACGACGTCTCTGTGAGAACCTACACATAAAAACAAACAAAGTACTCATCAGAACAAACACAGTTCCGTAAATACCAGAACGAATTATCAAAGCCTGGACAAAGTGGTCCAGGTTGAAGACACTTAACTCTCACAGTGCGTCTCTCCACACAGGTGTACAAATGGGTACTGGAAAAGTTAATGCTGGGGGGGTAACCCTGTAATGGATTAGTCTAGCATCCCCCCCCTCCCCCCAGGGGGAGTAGAAATATCCCTAGCCGCTTAATGCCACTAACACTGAGAAATTCCAGAGGAGATAATAATTTCTGGGCCAGGTACTCCCAGCGAAAATAAGTTAGTTAATAACTAGCAGGCTCACAGGATAATTTACTTATTTCCAAGATCTGAAAATCAGGTCACTTTTATTCTTTAGCGATGTTATAAACACAAGTACAAATAACATCATTACCTCAGGAGCTAAAAACTCAGGTGTACCACAGAATGTGCCTGTTCTTGCCCCAAAACCCATTCCTTCTTTACACAAACCAAAGTCAGCGATCTTCACATAACCTTCAGAATCTAGCAGTAAATTGTCGAGCTTCAAATCCCTGGAATGAAAAATACAAATCATAAGGAAGTTGCAAACGCAGTTTACCTTTCATAGCTGTCTTGCTATACCACCAAATTCTAAAAGTAATATTAACATAAAATGGAAGGTAAAAAGCGGAGGGAGTTAGTACTGAGCAAAAGATTAGGGCTTTAAAAAAACTCTGAGTGCAAGAGGAATGATAACATAACTTGAAGGAATATCAAGGTACTTGCCTATAAACTATTTCATGTTCATGCAGATATTGGAGTCCTAACACAACACATGACGTGTAGAACCTAGGGAAAAAATGTTCAAAGCCACAGTTAGAATACTCAGTGTCCTGGACACAGTTGAATGCACTCACAATGTTAACCCTCCTGAAGGGTGTACTCTGCACCCCCCCTGCCCCACCATCAAAAATTCAACTGTTTTTCACTTGCTTATGAGTAAAAGTCATGTCATAGAATTCGAAAATCTCTTGGGAAGATAAGACATTAACTAATGCCACTGATCTCTTTTCAAATAAATCACCAGTCTAAAACTTCATATTTGCACCAAAGTTGAGTGGATTTTGCCAACAGAGTCTGATGAAAATGAGAGTATTCTTCATAGAAGAGAATTACCAATTAAGATTTCAATCATGGTGAAACTTACACTGTCCTAGGTTCTGAAAAAACATCAGCATGAATGTGCATCATAAGGTCACCTCCAGGGGCATACTCCATAACAAAACAAACATGTTCCTACACAAATAAACAAAATAATACTTAGTAAGAGATCCACCTCAGGAGGCAACAACAGAAAACAAGGATTAATCAACAATTCATTCAAACTTACATGAGTCTGAAAGCATGCGAATAAGTTAACTAGGAATGGATGCCTCATCTTGTTCGCTGTCAAGAATATTCTTTTCTCCGACAAAAGACTGAAAAATAAAACATCAGATTCACAGGTTTAAAATCAACTCCTCCTCTGTACCACATGGTAATCTCAAACTAGTCCGCTCAGTCATTGCAGGCAAAGTAAATTAGAGTCGTTTTAAAGATAGTGCCTGTTTTAAAACAGTGTCTCTGTATTTTAATTTTTTATATTAGGTAATTGCTATGGCTACCTTTCAACTTCTTCTCGGGAAATGATATCGCCTTTTTTCAGTGCTTTGATTGCAAACAGTTCATTCGTGTTTCTGTATTCTGCTAAAATAACCTGCAAAGAGAAAGAAGCTCTTGAGTGATAATTTACAACAATAACTTTATCCGTTCCATACCAAGCAAATCATCTGCAATCTCAGACAAGAGTTGACAACAAAAGAAAGGCACAGACCGTCATGATGTACTGGTAATGCAAAATTCTTAGAACTTACATAACGGCAGATACTGGTTATCAGTAAACAAAATTAATATTTTCAGCTTTGAACTGGAAGTATGATAACAATTTCAACCTCAAAATACATTAACTCTCACAAGCAGTTTCTTTGAAACACATTTTACGATACAAACTAGCAATAAAAAATGAAGGACAAAAACATCGTTTTTAGCGCTAGTTTTTATCCTAAAATACATTAACACCTCATTTTGCTTGGGGCATTACAGGTTTTACGGAATATCCCACAGATACAAGAGAGTTTCTACAGCTTCATTTTCTCAAACTCACTTTTCCAAAATGGCCTCTGCCCAGCACACTGATGCACCGAAAACTGTCAATGTTCATATGACTCGTTGAGCTAGTGGGTGGCGATGGAGGTCTGAAAGAAAATGAAGTACACAGCTAAGTTGCTAAGAGGTAGGAAAATAACACAGTCATTCAATTTCATCAATTAATCAAAAAAAGAACTAAGACTTAAAAGAATATGACTAAAGACTTGATCAAAATGAATTTTCTTACTCACAAACTTTTAACTGGGGGGAAAGGAGGGGGCAGTTTACAGGATGACATTTAGTTGTACCCTTTCTAGCCCTGAGGGTGTCACTATAAAAGTGTAGTAAATTAGATTTCTACAAGAGGTGAAGATCAAATGATTAACTACAGCACCCTGCATTTCTATGAAAAAAAGCTGCACACATGTATATTAGAGTAAACATTTTTTTTTTCTTATAATGATGAAGTGTATTACAGCTTACTTTCTTCTAACAGGAGGGCTTGGTTTATTGGGTGATTGTTGGATGGTCGGTCTTGTTGGTGGACTTTGCGGGCTGTCTAGGAATCCAAACGCTGAGAGAGCGTCCTGCAATGACAAATAACATTGGATGTGAATGCTTGGTGAGTAGACTAGGAAAAACCTAGCATATAATTTTGTTTAATGCACTAATCAAGCTTGATGGCCGTAGAAATTACATTTGTGGAAAATAATTTCCTTGGAATGTCAAGATACACTGTAACTTCCACAATGATCCGTAAAAGCTAATGGAAATTTCTTTTAAGCTTGACCTTATTCATATGATGTTCTGGTCCTGGAAAAATGAATCTTCCAGTCACTGAAGCAATTATATTTACCTGGACTTCATTTTCATTAACTGATCTCTTTCGAGCAGAGCCTGCCAGTTGTTCACTGCTGTTTGCTGATTTCTGGCCCTTGCCAGACGTGGTGCTGTCAAACTCAGGTTGTCTGGGAGGTGTCTGTGTTTGAGATCTTTGTTGACTACTAAAAAAGGAAATATTTCAATTAATTCAAGGAGTAGTCTGGACATAAATTGTACTAATATGCTGATATGTGGAGAAATACTAAAATAATAATCATTTATTTCGTGATGAAACCTGATGAAAAACTATTTTTCATCAGGTTCTCACTGTTGTATTTTGCAATTTTTGAACTTTAAAATTGTGTCATGAAGACTCCGAAATGTCGTTGACTTTTATCATTAATTTTTACTTGCTTGTACAATACAAAACCTTTGCTTATTAGGATTATCACAACAGGAACCAATTTATTTTACTTTATTTAGTAATAAAGATGAACTAACTAGTCAGAGGAAAATGTCTGACTTAATTGACTTTGATAATTGAAGAGGTAGAATAACAAGCAGTCAGCTATCTGAGATCAGTAACAACTTGCATAAATGGCCAATCCACAAAGGGTCTTTTCAGTAGGAAATACAGAAATACTTTTGCAACAGTGTTTCAGCCAGAAAATTTTACTTGAGGGCCAAAGTTGCCCCTGAAGATCTTTTTTAGGGGCCAATTTTTTAGGAAAGGGGCCAATAAACTGAAAGCTACAGAAGGAAAAAATGCATCAGGGAACCAAGGAAAATAAAGCCATTTATTAGGATCTATGATAAAATTTAATAGTAAGTACTTTTTGAAGGGTTTCTACTCAATAAAGTTTCTTTTGAATCAGATACTAGTATGAAGGATCCGTGCATTACAAGAGAACAATCCTTAGGCCTACATGAT